CTTAGCTCACCGGAGAGAATCATGGGTCAGCCCGATGCCTGTGAAATCCAAGCCTCAAAAAGTCCCTGACTAAACACTAGGAAGAGGTGTCATTAGCGAAAAATGAGCTTTGTCATCCCACCCGCCACGCCCGCCATCACGACGGCAGAGCTGACGGCCAGTGCCTCTGAGGGTGACCGGGAACCACGTCACCGCAGTCCTAAACAGAAGACAGCGTCACCATTTCACAGATGAGGAGGCCGAGGCCGAAAGACGGAACTTCACGCGCGAGCAGAGCCGGCGGGCAGCGGGCAGGGGTGGCCCGAGGCGGGCTCACGCTGGGGACCACGGGGACGCGGAGACCCAGAATGAACTCGCAGGCCGAAGCGACTCGTTAGTGGAAATCTGGAAAACGCCCGTGCACCCGAGCGTTACCTAGAGCCTTGAGAAGTTCTTCTCGGACTGCGGAGGTGAATTTTCGGACCAGGCACAGTGTCGTCACAATAGCGAAAAGCAAATTGTAGGACAAGACGATGTAGAAGTTTCCCAGCCAGTTAAACCTCCCGAAGTCTCCCAGAAGGTCGAACCTGGTGATCCCTGAAAGACAGACAAAGCAGCCTGAGAAAGTCAGGGGCGACGTGTTTATCACACACGTCACGAGATAAAGTGCGACCCCGATCAAACGCCGGGGCCCTCCCCACCTCAGCCGGCGAGGGCCAGTTCGAAGCGCGTCGGTGCTGTCTCGTGGGGCACGGCCACTCGCAGGCGAGGAGCCATGGCCTGCAGGCCCCTCGCCAGTCACTGGGACTTTACGCTTCCGTCGACAAGAAACCCACCGTGCTGCTCGCGTTGGGGGGAACGGGAGTCGAGATGGAAAGGCATCTGACGAACCCCGCGCCCCTGTTCCAAAGCCCCCCCCGGAAAACGGCGGGCCCCCCACGGCCCTGCCGCTGCCGGCGCCTCTTCACAGCGCACACGCCTGCAGCGCCGGTCCTTCCGGGGGCTTCTCCCGCCCGCTCGCCCACGGGGTCACCAGCTCCCTGAGGCCGCGTGCGTCTCTTTCGCTGCTGCGACCCCAGCGCCCAGAGCAATGCCGTGCGTGTGCTCGGTACTGACTACGGAAATAAATAACCCAGGGGGGCGACTCCTTCGTGACTCTGAATCGGACGCTTGCGGGATACGCTGGAAACGCAGGGCAGTCACTCCGGGTGTGCATTTAAGTCGCTTAACTTCACCCATCGCGTTTTTAAAAAGTCCTCTTATTAAAAACAGCAACAATCATTCTATTCAATGAGCCCGGGGCAGCACTCACTGTAAATACGTGGGTGGCAGGCGTTTTCTGACCATCGTACACTGTGGATGTTTTTCAAGGAAGAAACCGAAGAGCTGCATGGGGCCGTATAAAATTCTAATTACGAAGGACTGGGAAGACAAAACCACGGACCTTTGTTTCACCCGCGGTCGAAGGATTTCAAGAAAGGGACAACTCATTTCACCTTGTCAGCCGGCCACGGACCTGAGCCCTCACCCCCACCCTGTGTGACCCCACAGCCGGCCCCGGAGACGGATCCCACCGAGTGGCCCGTGGAGGCGACAGTCTTCGGATGCAGCGCGTGGCAGGAGAAAAGGCTTCAGGCAGCAGTGCCTTCGGAGCCGCATCTGCCCGCGGCTGATGGCCTCGAAGCGGAGAGACGCGAACCCCTCTGACACTGCACCCAGGCAGCACAGTCACGAGGACACACCAGGACGTTTCTTCTGGAGCAGGGAAAGGGGCCCAGGCCCCTGCGGAGGGTGTGGCGTGGCCCACACACCACGGGGTCACGGTGACAGCGGCCTAACAGGCTCCCCTCGCTAGAGGGGCAGGCGTCCTGCTCTGCATAAAATACCACGGAACGGAACCCAGGGAGCCATCTGTACACAAGACACGGTCCTTACGAAGCAAACGCAGTGGTCCCAGCCCAGGGGTCCCAGAGCCACTGTCAGTTTGATCGTGAGAAGCGAAGACTCCTGTGCGAATCTGGCGGCAGCCATGGTCTTTCCGCGAGAAAAGACACACAGGCTCACACGCCGAGTTTCGCGTGCGGTGGCTCTCACTGACGGAGGGACTGAGCGATCACAGAACAACGATCCTTGCCCAGAAGCTCCGTGAGTCTTATCTGGTCTAAAAAAAGTTTTGATATACGCCACCATTAGCGAAGACAAAATGGGGGCACCTAGACCCGATTACGTGTACGTAACAGTTGATAAACTATATATGTACTATTCCCTGACGTACACATCATACACAGACGAAGCAGACATTTTACATAAAGATACACGCGAGTCCTCACAGCTTCTCCCACAGCCCAGTGACTGGCTTGTGAGTTCGTGGGGCACAAACAGCGGTCTGCGCTTCACGGTAATTCCGCCGCCACCCCCATCGTGGGCCGCGTGCCGAGCGGGGGCCACACCACGGCACACGAGTGCAGTCGGGACAGAATGCATCGGCACGGTACGAACGGAAGGTCCACGGTGAGCGACAGGAAAGGGCTGTCACTAGCACTGCTCGGTGGACTCGACAGCAGGCGAAAGGCGCCATCCCCCGTGGACGCTCTGGTCCCCGGGGCGTCTCGGGCCAACCTCACCGGCAGAGACCCAGGAGCCTGCTGCCGCGGCCACACAAAACACTAGATTAGAGGGACTCGCTGTCGCTTCGAATTTAATATTTTAAAAAAATCTAACTAGTATTGACCGAAAGGCTACTCTGGACAACACGCACGGCTCTTCGGTTCTGAAAATCTCTAAGACTAGACGTCAAGAAACCGTCAACTATCACTTCTCTAACCTTCTGAGAGGTTTTCATCACAGCAATAATGAACTTGTAAAATATACTTTTTTATTAACTTAAGAAAGAAGTAACAATACTTAAAGTTTAACTTAAAAGCACTTGCTAGACAAATGTATAATACTTCGAAATCTGTATTTCTGGAGAAAGGTGTAAGAGAGTTTCGAGTGATATTTAAAATAGTACTAACTACAAGAAAATTTAGTTATCAAAGGTTGTTATTTAACTCTCCCAGTCAAATACTAAAATGCTTATTCCCATTTACAAGTGCATTTCTTTAACAGATAAGTAAAACACAGGCCAGGTAAGGAGCTTAGTCAGTTGAGCGGTGGGTAAGCACAAGGCCGCACGATGGGGATCACCCGTCAGTGAGACACTCCAGCCAAAATGCACAGCAGCCCCCCCGACTAGGATGCAACCGAAAATGTTTCATGTGTAATTCTTCGAATAAAGATCTTTTTCTATTCATACCTTAGAAAAGAACTAAGGTACAGAGCAAACCCTCATCTCGAGAAAGCGCTGGGTACTCCGCCCGCTGGCCCACCCGAGTCATCTTTGACTTTCAGCGTGCACGCTCATCTCCCTAACGAGCAGGAGGCTGAGACAAAGTGTAGCGCTTGACACACTACAAGGACCGATAAGCGGTGTGTCCCGGCATGTCACACCGAGGGCTGACAGGGATGCCCATGGCTTTACGGTAAGACTGCCCAAAAGAACACGTACATCTCGTTATAAAAAACAACTTTAGAAATTAAGTTAGAAATTCATTTAGAAATTAATAAAACGTTGAGATTAACACATTTCCCCCCCTGGCCCTTCGCAATGGTTTAAATTATTATCTTGACTAGTTTTTCAAATTCCTTATTCTAAAGCAGACTTTTGAAATAAATTTGCCCAAGATAGTGTCAAAAATTAAATGTGACTCAAAGAGTACGAAATAGTATAACCTAAAACAATTTTTAAACATCATTAATTTCAGGATTAATGTAAACAGGCTCAATGTCAATCATTTTATTCATTCAAAAAAAAGGCATTCTAAAACTAAAGAGAGGGTCCACTTTTGGGGTAGAATGAAAGACGAGGCTGTTAAAGCAAAGACTTCAACTTTTGCAAGTAGATTTTCATTGTTACATCCATTAGAAATACGTTAATTAACTTCAGGTTCCAGCCAAGAGGGAGTAAAGGACCAGACTCTCCCTCATTCCTGAAGTTTGGGGGGTCAAAGTTATTCACAAATTTTCTGACTGTGGGGGGGTCGGTACCCCTTACCCCCCTGTTCTTCAAGGGTCAACTGTCTATCAGATGCTAGAGGAAAGACTGAAGAGATATGAAAGATATAAAACAGACCCAAGTGACCTTCTACAGTGACCTTCTACAATATAAGATATAAAGCACACATTAGATGGGATTAACGACAGATTAGACTCTGCGAATGAGGAGATTAGTAAACTCGAAGATATATCGATAGAAGCTATTCAAAATGAAATGCAGAAGGCAACACAAGACAGAAAAGGAACCGAGCACCAGTGAACTGCGAATCAATTTCAAATTGCTACTGTGTTTGTGGCGAGAGTTACTAAAGGAGAGGACGTGCGAACGGGAAAAAACGTATTTAAAGAAATAAGGGCTGAACGTCTTCCAAATGTGATGAGAACTATAAACCTACAGATCAAAGAAGCCCCATGACCTCGATGAACAAGATTCTAAAGAAAACTATACCAAGGTACATCATGATCAAACTGCTTAAAATCAATAATAATAAAAAAACTTATACGCATTTTTACAAGATCACATAAAAAATAACATAGACGACGATCACAGAAGATTTCTTGTCAAAAACTATGCAAATAAGACAGTTAACTAATCTTGAAAATACTGAAGAAAAAATAAGTCGATCTAAAATTCTATACCCAGTGAAAATATCTTTAACAAACAAGGCACATACAGAAAGCTGAAAGCCTCCACCCCTCGCGGACCTGCATCACAAGGACTGTTAAAGAAAGACTTCCCGGCAGAAGGAAAACGGCCTCAGGAGGAAACCTGGATCCACACAAAGAAGTGAACAGCAACAGAAATGATTACTGTGTGGGCAAATAAGGAAAGACTTTTTGGTTTAAAGCCTCTTGAAAAGATCACCATTTACAATAAACACCATGTGTTATGGGGTTTATAACATGTACGACGTACGATGACGACAGCGCACGGGCCGGCAGGGGACACAGAGGCACGGTCCCTCCCGAGCAGCGTGTGTCCACTAAGACATAGATTTTTTTCAACGAGCATCTTTCCTATTTTCTTCCTGCAGTTGTAACCGTATGCATCGATCTATGCCATTTTCTAGGGGGACTTGAGCATCTGCTGATTTCGGTATCCACGTGGGGTCCTGCATTATCCCCACTGAGGGACGCTAAGTTTTGGAGGAGTCAGAAACTATACACAGGTTTGTGACCGTGCAGCAGTTCAGCGTCCCTAATCCCTGCGCTGTTCAAGGACCAACTACGTACTGTTGCAAGGTGCTTTAATAGCACCTGAAAGTAGACTGCGATGAGTTAAAAAATGTACTATAAACCCTGAAACAACTATTCGAACAGGCCAAGAAAAAAGGTAAAGCTGAATCACTATTTTCTAATGCGATTTATCTAGAAAAATGCAGCCAAAAAGGAAAAACGGAACAAAGAAGAGACAGGTCAAATAGAAAAGAAACAGCAATATGGTAGATTTTTAAAAGTCATACCAATCATTATATTCTATGTAAATCGTCTACACATCCAAA